TGAAGAACATGGAAATGTTGGTGGAACACCAAGCCCATGATATCCTAACATAAAGGACTTTGCACTGGCTGAGGAAATACCTTGTACTGTTGCTGAAACTGGCAGTGCCCTGACTCTGTACTAAATGCTATTAAGGGGGGAGGGGCTGGGGGAAACGTTTTGTCATGCTTGTACAGAGATCTAAGTGGCATTTGCTGCATGACCCTTTGGTGCTTGGAGTCAGGAATTCCTTCCTATACACTAACATTTGAGTAGTGTATTCCTTGGGAGCATTCATCCTGTTGTCACCAAAATGGGGTTTGGTAGTCTACAATGGCGAATTTTTCTTGCTGTGAGTTTCCACTGGAGAATGCTAGGCACTACATACACTAAAGGGGTGCAGGTCATTAGCTCCACAGTAGGATAGCAGCAAGACTTCCATTTTGCACTTACTGTGCAAGAAGGTAAAGCTGTCTTCAACCATTGTCAAGCATTTCTAATGGGTGGAGGAAATTATGATCTTTTTCCTGGAACCTTCCTGGTAGCTCAAAGGTAACAAAACTGGGAACTCACACTTTTTCCCATTGCCTACCCATATTTTGCAATAAAGGAAATTGCTCAGTCCCATCGTGAGTTTTCTGAGAATAAAGTCATAAATTTTGTGGATTTGTTTTTATATTTTTTCTTTGGGTTTCCTCGTCTTTTACAATATTTTATCCTGAAATATGCAGTAAAACAACTGCTGGAATAAATGTCTCTGCCATCTCTCTTGTGCATTTCTATTGATTTTCTTTTGCAAGCTGACTTTTGAATTGAGTATTTTCAAGAGATCCAAGGTGTTGTTTAATGATGCAGAAATAGTTTTAAAAGATTCTGATCATGAATGGAATCAGTATTGCTGATATAATTTCTGGTATGGTTTCTTCCAACTTGAATGGATGAGCAGGGGAAATAGTTGTAGTTTTATTGTACTTTACAAAGATACTTGTTTTACATGTAGTATTTATTTCAAATTTCAAAAGTTCATTGGAGAAAATCCAGTCCAGTGGCCCTTTTTTAATGGCAGGATAGGCAAAACTATTGCTGTTAAAATTTCCTGCCTTCCCTATGATTTGAGAAGTCACACACATCCATATTAAAACAGATTCTTGAAAAAAATGCTTGTGACTTTCTTTGGAATATGACTAATGTATCAATTAATTTCTTTTTTATGGAAATAAGTAGTGTGCTAATAAGTCCTATTAAAATGCACACTTGAACATTTTGATGGAAACAGGAAAAGTGAGCTTTTATTAGAGAATGCCATATTAAAACCGCCCTGAGTCTCGGGACTAGGGCGGCATACAAATCGAATAAACTACAACTACAAAACTAAATCTATTTTCCTGCTATGATGTGCAGTATTGCTTTCAACAAAAATAGTGTGCAAGTGAAAACCAATAAGTGGTATTTACAACAGCTTATCTACTACAGAAAAACACTAAAAGGCAATACTATAACATTTGAAGTGTATTAATCTCTTTCATATATGGGCTGGGTCTTCTAAAATAATTCTGGCAGCATCGCATCTTTTATACTTAAGTCATTGCTTTTTGTGTAGATTATGTGCAACAATGTCCTAATTATTGTACCACTACATTTCTAATACTGGTAATCTTTTAATGATAATTAAGACCACCAACTCCATTGTTAAGTGAAATGGTTGCTAAGTGAAACTAACTGCTTATGGCCTTAATTCAGCTTTCCTTTGCCTTACAGGCTATGAAAGCCATAAACTCAATGATTGGTCACAAAGTTAATTTGTTGCCACTTGTGTAACAGCAAACCATCACTAAATGAGGACCACATGTCATGAGAGCCAGTTTTGTGTAGTTAATGCACTAAGCTAGAAAGAGACTGAACTCTGATACCAACTTTGTCACAAAGCCAGTTGGGTGACCTAGGGCCAGTCATTCTTTCCCAGTCCTAAGAGGGTTGTAATGGCAAACCACTTCTTAAAATCTTGCCAAGAAAACTGCAGCAACTACACACGCACTTCAAATCAGACTCACTTTGGTGTGGTGGAAAGAACATTGGGCTAGAAACTAGAAGACTTAAGTTCTAATCCTGTGATAGGTACAAATTCAGTTGGGGAACTTCACACTCATTCAGCCCCAGGAAAACAGCAATGGCTAACCACTTCTAAGATCGTCCTCAAAATTTCATGGGCTTGTCTGGCATTCACTAGAAGGCTCTATCTCCACTCCAAAATCAAATCTGCAAGTCCCACTGAAAAGTGAATTGTGTTGCATATCACTGGCCAATCTTATTATACTATGTATTAGGATCTTGCATGCCCTGACAAATGGCTCAGCATTCCACCTGTGGCATGTGTGCCGTAGGTTTGCCATCAAGGTATTAGGTGGTTAGAGATCAGGCATAGCTGCTTAAAACTGATTTCATGCTTTCACAAGGAAAACCAGGATTCCTATGCATTGAGGTCAAGTTTTATGTATATGAGCATCAGGTGAAAGCAAATGTGCTCTGCAAAGAGATCACCACTTTCAGTCAGATCTAATTTTTCCATAAAATGTAAGATGGATAAGGAATGAATACACATTATTTTTCTTATCATAGAAAAGTTTGCATTTAATGCAATTGAAGTAGAGCTAGGATCAGAGAAATCCAGATTTAGACAAAAATTCATAAGAATGAGTAGGTCACTCATACATAATGAAGTCAGCTTATTTCACAAGAATGGTGAGGAAAAAATATAATTACTCTTGTGCTTAAAAAAAGATGGAATGTAAATCAGGCTGCTTTGCTCATCTGAAATGTTATCCTACTCTGAACAAAAACAAGTTGCAGTCACATATTTTTGAATCTAAAAACCTATATTCAAAAATTATGCAAGCTTTATCCCGAAACAAGTTGAATAACGCCTGCAAAAAGATATATCCAAAAATTGTATTTTTAATGTAATATGTAATAGAACCTAGCTTAAAACGAGTCTTATTTTTCATTTTTCTGTAAAATGTTACAAAATGTTATTTTGTCCAATGTCTTTAAAATTACAACCATTTATATTTTCCTGCCACACATTAAAACTTGTTTTTTCACCAAATCCTTTCATTTAAATATTTTACCCCACCCATTATTGGGGTAATAGGTAATCAGATTATCAGGATATCTCAACTTCTCCAACCAATTGTCAAGCTTTCATTGTCCAGATTTATCTTAAAAATCTAAACACTTCATGTATAAAGTGCATAAAGACTTGTGGGATATATTAGGGTAATTCAGCAAGTGGGGTATACAAAATTTCAATTGTTTATCTAAAATTAAGTAATTATTTATAGAACAAGCAAAGTTCATTCTCAAAACTATTTCATACTTCAAACATGCCAGCTAAATAACCCTGTTTCTTCTCATAAATTCACTTTTTCAGCAATTATGTGCCCTATTTACTCACCTCTGATGTACTTATGGTACCATTAATGTATTTATGTGGCTTTCAGAGTATAAATATGAGCATTTTTACCCAGCTTGCCAGATGTAGAAAGATAGTGGGGATTCTAATTTGATGCTACCGTCTTTTCCATGTTTTAAGCATTTTATAGAAACAGTAAAAATGGAACCAACATAAATGGGTTAAATATATGCCATTTTTAAAAATCAACATAAATTACAGGTAGTCCTAATTTCAGTCCACAACTGAGTCCAAAATTTCTATTGCTAAATGAAACATTTGTTGAGTTTTGCCCCAATTTACTTTTCTTGCCAGTTAAGTGAATCACTGCAGTTAATCACACAATTAAGTGAAACTGGTTTCCGCATTGACTTTGTCAGGTTGCAAAAGGTGATCACATGACCCCTGGACACTGCAACTGTCATAAATACAAGTCAATTGAATTTTGATCATGTGACCATGGGGATGCTGCAATGGTCATGTGAAAAATGGTCATGTTGCTTTTTTCAGTGACGTAACTTTGAATGGTCACTAGATGAACCTTTGTAAGTTGACTACCTGTAATTAGATTCAACTGACAGCCCTGGTTAAACAACTTCTTAAATAAAAATCTAGCTTGAGTTTTCTCTTTATCAGAAAAGCATTTTAACTAGCTATACAATATTTAGGAGGTATCACATTAAAAAGTGTGATAGAACCCAGAAACAAAAATGCAGTGCTGAGCTGTAACTTCTTGCATCCTTTCTCATAAACTCTATAGCTCCCTCCCTTCTCTCAAATCTTTGTTACAAATCATATTTGTTTCCAGATTGACTGGTTATTTATAACACCGATGGTTCTCATTTAATGACTTGTTCATTGACAGTTTTAACTTGTTGACAGCACTGAACAAATGGCATTTACAACTAATCCTCCAAGTTCCAGCTATCACAGTATCCCAAAGTCATGTGATTGTCATCTGCAATGTTGTTTGCCAGCTTAAAAACAAACTCAATGAGAACCAGCAGGTGGTCACAAATGGCAGTAATGTTCTCACTTAATGACATGGCATTCTCTTAATGGTAACCAGGAAAGGCTGCAACAGATGTGAATAAGTGATGTGGTCATTTGACATCACATTTTAAGATTACATTGCTTAGTGACAAAAATTCCAGTCCCAATTGCTGTTAACCGAGTACTATTTGTATTTACTTATACTAGCTTAGCCATGGTTTAGTCAATCACATTTTCACTTGGCCTTCTGAATTATAAATCAATTGCAGAGTAGAATTGTACAATGTTAGGCTAGATGTGGTGACTAGGTTCAAGATTGGGTGTCCTGCCAATAAAAAATATTTTAAACCCTAACTGCTGTCAAAATCTATTCTTTTATCATATCTTTCCCTGCCAATATAAATTTCATGATGAGGAGGGTTTGTTTGTTTTTCTTCGGCTGTGCCTTCTGTTCCTGGGAAGCTTTTAAAAAAATTGAATCTGAAATTTGCATAAATATTTTTGTAATTAATATAGAGAACCCCAATATTTACTTCTATCATTGATAACACATACTGGTTTTCTAAATAAAAACTTGGACTTGTGAATTTTCAAATTTTAGTTTTAATAATGAAAGCCTCTGGGAATAACAAACATTGACATTTTCTTCTTCGTGACCATGTTCCCAAAGCTTTTTCTTCTCATTTACTATAACTGTCCAGATTGCCCATAACCCAACAAATTGGGAAAAAGCCACCAGTAAAAATCACGGTGAATGCAATGGCATTTTCCTGTAAATTGAAAAAAAAAATGTGTTAAGTATGCAACATACGAGAGATAATAGATGCACAAGCTAGGTGACAATTGTGACTATTTAGTTTCATTTCTATCATAGTTTATATATGGCAGCTTATGGACTGTGTCCAGACTTCTATAACTTATTGTACATATGATTTATAATTCATATAGAAAATAACATATGGCATATACAATATTTATTGTAATCTTAATGATCCTGAGTTTTTTCTCAACAGTACAAATTCCTATAGATTTCTTGAGATAATTTTACGGGGTACATTCTTCAAATTACTGTAAGTTCTATCTGTTATGTTTTACTTATTTCCTACAGTAAACACAATGGCAACATAAATCTCAGAAGTATTTGCAGCCTATTTTAAATGTATGCAGTTAGTGCTGTACTGCTGGAAAATCTACAACAACCTGAAAAATAATGCACTCATGTTTGCTGCAAGAATAAGAATTCCTGATATAAGACTTTCCCCTCTTACCAGTTTCTTGTGAAATGAAAAAAAATGGGAATGTACAAAAGATTAAAACTGAAAAAGGCCATTATCTAGCCTTCTCTCATAAAATTCTTTATGAAGCAAGCACAAATGCACTGAGTGGAAGCATTCCAAACTAAGAAACCAATCATAATGATTTTTAAACAACTAGCTGAAACCACTTATCCTATTCTTAGTTGTGATTTCATCTGTTACATGGCAGCCTCTCAAAAATACAGATTGCTACAACACTGGGCATTGGAGGGGGGTGTTATAATGCTTCAGATTGTAAAATGTTGGATTAAAGACACTGTCAATGTGACAAGGAATTAAAAACCCATTACTAATATTAAGAGCAAATCTTACAAATTTAAATGAATTTCAGGGGGAAAATACTGGGGGAGGGGGAGAGTGTTAAATCTCTCCTGCCTTTATAACAGATTAACAGAGTTGGATGTAATATAATATAATATGATAATAATATATTACTAAAATATATTATATTATAATATCAATTGGAAAACTAATTCTGCACCAAGTGAGAAATCAAATAGGTTCCTAACCAACCTAGCCGACAGCTTTTATTTTAGTAAGCGGAGTGCCAAGAATGCAGACAGGATTTAAGGCTTAAGTCTGTTGGTTTTCATTAACGACGCATAAGGCCTTCTGCAACTATACGGCCTTCATGTAACTACAGAGGCCGGGGTGAAGGCCCTCCAGCTAATACCGTAGCCATTTAAACGACCATTTTTAAATTTCCTTGAAAGAGACATGAAGAAGGCACGTGACGCTGTCCTTGGGAGCATTTCCTCTTCCATCACCTTATTTCAGTCCGGGAAAAGAGGCACACTATATAACCCGGCCTCGCCGTAGCGGAGTAATTAATATAAAAGCCTTTGACCCCCGGACTGCGCTCTTCCTAGCCCAGGCCTAGCCAGGGGACTCTCGCCAGAGGCGATTGTTGAGCCCTTCAGAAACCTGCTCCTGAAGGCGAGCAGGACTGACATCCATGAGTCATGGGCCGGTGTGCGCGCGTGCGTTGGAAGGAAGCGGTTAAACTCTCACCAAGAAACTGTTCTTTCCTGACTTGGTGGACGTGTTTGCCCTCGGGAGGATCTGGCTCCTCACGGTCCCATTCAGCAACCGCAGCCCCTTCTGCAAAGCCAGCATGACTGCGCCGGTGGTTGCCTCTCGGCCCGCTCACCCTTTGAGGAGGGGGTGAGGGAGAAACGCGTGGACGGCCTCCGCCCTTGAATCCGCAGCAGGAGCTGACTGAAACCGCGTCTAGGCTGGGAAGATCTGCGCAAGGTCGGCAAAGGCCGCGGGCTCGGCGAGAACAGAGAACAGCGCCGCTTGCAGGTGCTTCCTCGGAACGCAGCGGATGTGACGAAAGCCCTGGCGTTGCGCGAGAGGAGCAGCCGGAAGGGAGGGGCTGGGTCGAAGAGAGCACGGAAAGGGCGCAGGCGGAGCGCCGCTTTCGGAGAAGAGGGAGCGTGGGAGGAAAGGGAGGAAGAAGTAGATTTCTCGCGTTTTATCTAGAATAGATTATCAATCCGTAGAGTGGAAGACGGGATCCCTAATCAATCCATAACTAATAATTGTATCTTATGATTCTTGGAATGTATCTTTTTATGTACACTGAGAGCATCTGCACCAGCGGTGGGTTTCAAAAATTGTTCGAACCTACTCTGTGGGTGTGGCCTCCTTTGTGGGCGTGGCTTGCCACCCATGTGACCGGATGGGAGTGGCTTGCCACCCATGTGACCGGATATGAAGATGCCCACGACACTTGTCAGAACCACCTTAAATTACCCCACACACAGCACTGGCATGCATAAGAATATGATGTAAACTTATTTTTTAAAAGGCATCTTTGGTTTGCGTTAAACAACTTCAACACACGCAATGTTCTGATTGCACCACAAATGCAGTAGTCATCCTTACCTTTCACAGAGGCACTGAGTTTTATAAATATGAGCATGATAGTGTAGAATAATCATATCCAAGGACCAGTGGTGGGTTTCAAAAAAATGGAACCTCTTCTGTAGGTGTGACCTGCTTTCCGGGTCCACTGGTGGAACCTCTTCTAACTGGTTCGGTAGATTTGACGAACCGGTTCTACTGAATAGGTGCGAACTGGTAGGAACCCACCTCTGATCTGCACCAAAGACAAATTGTGTCCAATTACGCTTGGCCAATAAAGAATTCTATTCTATTCTATTCTAATCCATTCCTGTTTTCACCTAATTAAAAGATTAACACTTCCCCCCTCCCTTCCCAGTGTTATCAGTTACATTGTCCAATGGATATGGCTGGCAGGCTTCTCTCCTTCACCAGCCATCTGTTAGGATGAAATTGGTGTGGCAACTATGAGGCAGGACAAGAGACTTCAGCAGCTTCAGAATTGACACTACCTGTACATATTTTGGCATGAGGTGAGCCATCTCCCATCCTAGTGATCAAACAATGAACGATAGAATGTTGTTTGGTCACAAGGATGGGAAAGGGCTCGCCTCATGCCTTAACATGTACAGATGGTTCTCAACTGACAAGGGTGGTTGAGATGAGAATTTATGTTACTGAGTGATTTAAAGTGTGACCACATTGCTTAACAATAGCAATCCTTGTAGTCCCAGCTGCCATGTTAACTGATTTGTAAGGTCAAGCTACTTCCTGCCAGCTTCCCATAACCAAACTCAGTGGGGAATCCAGCAAGAAGTTACAAGTCCCAGGCTGGCAGGAAGGTACCATGTTCTCCGAAAATATAAAACTGGGTCTTATATTAATTTTGACTGCAAAAGATGCATTAGGGCTTATTTTTTGGTTAGGCCTTATTTTTGGGGAAATAGTACTAAATGCATCTATCTGGATGACAATCTTAACGGCCCTATTTTGGGGGTAGGGCTTATATTACGAGCATCCTGAAAAATGCTAGGACTTATTTTCTGCTCAGGTCTTATTTTTGGGGAAACAGTAATTAAGAGAGTGTTGCAGTGTAGGTTTGATGTTACAAACATATATGAGAGGAATTTTCACAACAATATACAGAATGAGGGGATCCAAACATGAATGTTAGGATTTCACAACATTCCTACCTACTATAGCAAAGAAACAGCAGAATTCAAACATTAGGGATTTCTCAGTAGCCATTTATTTTCAAATGATGTAATAAGATGTACATTCTAGGTTCACAAATGAATTACTCCCCTTCCCATTACTTTGATATCAATGTGTAGATGTGCCTTAATAAAATATAGTGCAAATGGCAGGGAATCTGAACTCGTATCAACTCGTGTTTGAATTGGTCACAGGGCTAGAACTGCTGGGAATTTGTCTTCAACATCCGCTTAAAGTCTCCCTCCCCTCCCTGAACCATGCAAAGCAATGTTGAGGTGAAGGTACTAATAATTGCACTAGGATCCTGTCGTGGTTCACTGGTGTGCTTCTGAGGAGTCCATAAAAATATCTGGGGATAGAGCAGTAAAGGGGGAAAATCTGTTCACTGTTTTCAGACTGTGAGAATCAGGTTGATACTTTTTAGTAGAGTAAGATCCATGTATTTTACATATTTTGAAGAATTATGGATATTTCCTTTAGTGTTCCTCTTTCCAAGATGCAATGAAGAAAAATAAAACCTTCCAAAAGTTCACAGATTATTGGTTTAATTGTTTCCATTAAAATGCATCTCTCTTGGGTGATATATATGTTTGGAGAAACTCTGTCCAGGTTCATTTCCTTCCATGCAATATTTTCCCTTCTTTCCAATTAGTTCAAAGTGACATCCTCAGGTTGCAAAGCCTCACACAATCAGTTCATCAGTTCTAGTAGATCAATAATGCCCATGTATTCTTTGGTTCTCAGTTTTATGGTGATATGAGGCAGCCTCATCCCACAACTTCAGCAATGGGAAGACTGTAAGAGTACTAAACATTTCATATAATTGAAAGGTTATATCAATGTTTTAAGGTCTTTCTGGAATACCCAATACATACAGGGATGATACAGCAATCAGAATAAGTGCTTTGCATTTAAAAGTGTGAGAATTCTAGATGTTCAATCAAAATTTATTAGGCTAGTAGCCTTCCATAAGATAATGGTGGATAACATCCCAAACTGAAGATGCTAAATTCTCATGCAAGAGACAGCTGGGTATCCTCCATCTTCAAACAAACCTTTTCAGATACCTTTAATTCCCAAACAATGGCAACCACCCCCGCCCCAAATTTATTTGTATTTTTAATTACATATGCAGTTGTTTGGATAGCCATTAGTCAGAGTTGAACAATTCGGAATATACTGATATTTCATCTATTGAGGTCTAATTTTCATGTCCACATATTTGTAAGAATAATGGTGCCCCTTCCCAGCAGCCCAGTTGATGCCATCAGCATAAGAGCTATGTTCCCCTTTGTGATACAGGCCATTCAGGTTGGAAGAGTGGCAGGCACCATACCACCAACCTCCCTTGTAAACTGCAGCACAACTTCCAGTTTTATGGGTATCATTGTCTTTGTCTTTTGTAGAGAATGCCAGGCTATTATGTCCTGAGAAAGAATCTCCTGAGTGAAGATAATCAGAGGAAAAAGTCAATGATTTACAGTATTGTTGCTTTCATTCAGAGTGCTACAACAGTGAAAAATACATATTCTCTGCTAGGAAGAATTCAGCAGGAAATCAAACATAATAGAATGCATAACTTATATGCAGAAATTCCCAACTCAGTTTATCATATTACCAGGTAGGAATTTCTTATACCATTGTTTGCTTAACCATGGTTTATTAAATAAACCCTAATTGTCAAATCATGCCACATGCCAAGCTAAAAACCATGGTTTAACAAACATAGCTAGACTTCATAATATACTAACTAAAAACCAACCGACATAGAACAATCTAATAAGATCACCACACACATGACAGTTACGTAAATTATTATTATAAAATTATTATATATATATATATATATATATANCAAGCCACTCCCACAAAGGAAGCCGCACCCACAGAGTAGGTTCCAACAATTTTTGAAACCCACCACTGAACTGGCTGTGCTAATTGCTCTCTCCTCAATTTATCTATTTAAAATTACTGAATTGGCTACCTTAATCTGTTTCAATTGGCTTCTCCTCTGAAAAGTTTTACTTCCAAACTCCTAGGGAAGGACATATAATCGATAATAGCTCCTCTTGGAGCCAGGGCTCTCAATTAGCCCCAGGGCTTTCCTGAGAGGGACTGCCAGGGTTTCTTTGGAGGCTTTCAACCTCTTGGCTTTGCCTGCAGCTTGCAAAGGCTTCCCTGGTCACAGCGCTGCCTAGCACTGGCCTTTGGAGGCTCCACTTACTGCTGCCGCCTCTGCTGGCTCTCCCTCACTGCCAATTGCCGCCAATCACCACCACCACCGCCAGGAAAGCAGTGCCGCTGCTGCTGCATACTACTGCCACTACTAAGTGCTCCCGCTGCTCCTAGACCACCGCTGGTGCTGCCATCATTTATTCTGCTGACAGATTGATAGGGTTAACATTGATAAAACATTGAAACAATATTGCATAGTAAACTTGTTGAAAATATTATATTTGTGACAGAATATATTGGGGAATTTAAAATGTTTAAATCTTATATATTTTAAGAAAAAAATCAGTGGTGGATTCCGGATCACGTTGCAACCATTACAGTTGCAACAGGGCCCGGTGCCATCCACATGAACGCGTGCAGCGCGTGCATGCGTCCTACCCTCCAGTGACACCTCTATGAGTCTCCGCAATGCTCCAGCTGCTTGGCGGAGCATCGCGCAGATGCTGTACGCGCCATGTGAACGGTACAGAATGGTACCCGATGCTCTGGGCAGGCACCGGTACCGGGGCGTACCGCCTGCAACCCACCACTGAACAAAATGTTTCCTTATTGATTAAAAAAAGGATAACATATTTTTAATTATTGCAAAGTGTTTATTTTACCAAGGAGCTATGTAGAAATTAAGAATTATATTTACATGCTATCTCTTTTCTATAGCCATATAGTATAAGTATAATCTTTATTGTCATTGTACTTAAATACAACGAAATTGGTTATATAGTGTTTTAATCATTTCTTTTTTCTCTTAATGATTTGTATCTTTAACTTCCTATCCTCAAATATTCAATATTGTATAGAATAATATATTTAGAACACCTACATTCAAAGTCAGTATAACAATAAAGACTTCTGTAACACTGTAGCATTTAAACTGTATAATTTATCTTGTGCATTATAACGTCTTTCACAATAATGATGTTTGCAAGGGACTTTAAGCAAGCAAAGATCCTTGATTTCAATATATCAAACTATCCTTAAAGATCTATGTTTGATTATAGTCATAGACTTCAAATAAAAAATTGTATGATATTACTTTTAATATATTTATATTAAGCTTTCTTTTTGTATTTAAAGCTGTCTTTTGGGGAGATATTGCCTTAGATGTTGAAGACTTAAAAATCTTTCAGATTGATAGGACAATTGATCTTACACAACATTCAGAGGGGAAAAATGGACATAATACTGGTAAGCTACAAACATTTTTTATTCATTTATATATTCAGAATTTTGTATATATTATATATATTGTATATATTTTGTAATGGGGATTTGTAATGTATTATTGGTTGTGAATAATTCTAAGTTTGCAAATAAATATAATATATATTATTCATTCAGTTAATTAATAAATGTAGCCATTTAGTTAAGGTGCTTATGAAATAGAGACTTTGGAGAAAGACCACTGTTCTATTTGATATAATATAAAAATGCAGTGCAGCGACATCATGCTGTACCACAAAGGTACCTATCGCTATGAAAACTAGATTACTACTATGAAAACAAGCTGATCATCTGAGCAACAATGCAGGACAAATAGTTGAGAATATCATGGGCTGTGAGAAGAACAAATGATTCAATAGTTAATGAAGCAAAATCAGATTGATGTAATAATAAAGAAAGGGAAAGGAAAAGAGTCGCTGAAGATTTTACTCTGCTAGGTCATTGCCTGTTATAGGGGACGGTACTCATCTCCATTTCAAGTCCATGAGTAATCGCTGTCTGAAGACATTTTGGTGGTCACATGGTCAGCATGACATTGTGGAGTGCTATAGAAGTGTTACCTATATGTCTACTTGCAGTTGCAAGTAGACAAGCAGGAGCTAAGTGAATACAGGCTTTCAACTTGTCGCATAATACTCAGATCTCAAACCCGGGATGTCATCTTGCCAGCTGACAAGCTCATCATCATAAACTCTTGAGCCATCACACTGCCAATAATAAAGAAGGTGAAGTTTTAAACATTTTGGTTGCATAAAATGAAGCAAAAGTCATTGTAAAAAGTACGATGACTGTTTTTTTAAAAAGTATCTTAAAAAGAGGCCAGTGGAAGATAAGGCTACTAGATACTATGAAGGAGTTTGCATTAACTTAAAGAAGTTATTGCTGGCAGACAATCTTAGTAAAATGATGTCGATGATCACAAAAAAGTTGGAAAAATAATTGACTAAACAATAAATCCTTGTTTTATCTGTGGGTTAAATACAATAGCTGGTGTAGAAGAAATGTTTAAAATAAAAAAATAAATTTAAAATACAGAACAATATGTATCAAAAAGAATTAAATTTTATCTGTGATACTTATTTGATGCTAAATGCCATCAAAGAGGGCATTTGGTTCCAGGTCAGGAAGTAATAGGAGTATCTGTCTGTGTACAAATTGAATATAGATGTCAGAGCTTCTCATACCTCAGTCTAGAAGTTGTATAGAAGGATATAAGTTTGAAAGTTCATCATAGCTAAAAATTGCCCGAATTGCCTCTTAACTTGTAACATCTTCATCTTTACCTCAATTTCTAATTTGTATTTATATAAACCATCTAGAGTCACTTAAATCGGATGGGCAATGTAGACATTTGATAAATAAATAACTAAAATATGGTGAGTAGATATTCTTATACAGCCTTACCATCACTTATTTTTTTTTCTTAATTTAATCTGTTGTTTTAATTAATAGCATATCTGACCTCATTTACAGACTGGTTTAAAATATAAATCAATGCCATCTTTTTTATCAATGAAAATTTAGCTTTGCGCCATTTCGGTCTAATTTTTCTGATAGTATCATGAGGTAAGGGAAATAATGATATTTGTTTTTCTTGCATTTCTGCTTTTCATCCAAAGACATCTTAAAATTATGATATAGTCAATCTGATATCTTTAACAGTACATGGTATCCAGCAGATCAATTTCCTTCCTGTTTTGTTCAGAAAATATGTGTGATCAGTTCCAAACAAAATAGAATGTTTTCCTTTAAGTTACATATCTCACAAATACTGTCTGTCATGAGCCTAAATATCAAGGAAAATGCTTAGAATTTGTATTAATTATTTTACTTTTAAAAAGAAAGAATATTTTTAATGAATGAAAACAAGATGGCATAGCGTTATAATACAATTTGCAATTAATATAATACTATTTAAACTGCATCTTTGTATCAACTTCCTTAAAATAAAAACCATTTCACTTAAAACATTACTTCCAAAATTAAACCTTACTTTGAAAGATTGTTGCGTCACTGGGTAGTAAATGTTTGCATTCTGGGAAGTTGACAAAATAGCTCATAGAGTAAGAATGTCTTAACATATTACCTCATTCTTCTAAAATCTAAGAGAAAAATTCAAAACATTTTTCTCAAGGCTTGCTACAGCTATGTGACAGTGGAAGGCATTAGGTAAATTACTCAGCAATGACACAACATATTTGCCTTATATGGCGCTGTGCATTTTTTTGTAACCCTTTAAACACGTAATTTAGAAGATTACATGAAGAATACATGTTGAAAAAAAACCCGAGGAATTACTGAAATAGCTAACCTATATTTCATTGATTTCACTGGTTCTCACTTTTGAATAGGCATGTAAATGAACAGTCTTTTTATGCATTTCATAAGCTACAAGTGTAGTGATTAAACATTCACTCATAATCTTTTTACTAATGGTAACTAAACTTGTTTGCTGGAAGTAAATAGTGTCATTAGTTCAAAGAAAAGTAATGTAAAAGTTTTGACAGTGTTAACAAAAAATCAGTTACAAACACCCTGAAATGTTAAAACAAGCAGTACAACTAACACAAATGCTATAGACAGTATTATTTGAAAAGTATTTGTTTCAAATAATACTGTATATGTTCATTAGTCAGAAGCAACATAATGTAAAGTGATTACAAAAAAATCAGTTGTAACCACAGTCAAGTGTTAAAATAAGTAATGTAACTAATATAAATATTATATACAGTATTATTTGAAAAGTATTCTTTGTTCGTTTGTGATGGACGTCAGTGAATTACAATTTTTAGTATCCCATAAAATGGAAAGTAGTATTTTCCTTCTTGGTTAAACTTTGTGATTTTTTTTTTAATGAATTTATCTGCCACAGCCAAATATATCTTACAGAAAATGCTGTTAAGCTTGCGAACCTTAATTGATGTCACCAAGTGGTTCCTAAATAAGATAGGCTTGAAATTGATAGAATCATTAAAGGTACTTATCAGGTAAAAATAATTCAGCTTTTAAGTGAAAATTGTAAAAGAGTTGATGAGCTCACTTGCCAAAATATAATTTTTAAGTAATATATATGCTTAATTTTACTCAAATCTTTTCTCTAAATTTCATATAAGCCAATTTCATCATAGGCCATAAATATGTCCTTATTTGCATATAACTAATATAATAGATCCTAATATAGTATAACTAGTACAATAATTCTCTGACCATAGAAGGTTTTCTCTTATTTTTTTATAACTTTACTCATACATCATCCCCAAACTGTCAGTGAAACTCTCATAACCTTGATGAGCTATTCCGGTATTCAAATGGTAGCTTCCCTTTATACTGATGTTGAGAAATAATCTGTTTAAAGTGTATGAAATATTTCTGTCAAAAATGTTTTTAAATATTTCTAAAGTTCAGGATGTTTTTGCCCTTGAATGTTTGCTTATTTATTTATCCATTAATTAATGGTTCCTTGAGGGCCCAAGGCATGGGTGAATGTTATTACCCAAAATTTTACAAGGGAATGCGACTGAACAAATAACATATATATTTGGAACTTTTTTCATAAATGAAACCATTTAACATACAACATATCTGTCAGCGTTCCAAGTATCATGCAGAATTAAATCAGAGTCCAAGGCAAACGATCCTTTTTGTTCCAATTTAATAAGACAGACAT